TGGGGCCACTAGAATAATTTTTCCAAAGCATATTTTCATGACTTGATAAACAATTACAATTGATTTCCTCTTGTGATATTAAGTCACTTTGGTTTAGAAAATGTCTGAACAACCATCCTTGAGGCTCACAGATGAGTCTCTGTGTTTCTGTGAGGAATAATGTCATTGCTTCTAGAGAAGGAAATAGAATTGCTCTATATGAGGCAGGAAGAGAAGTTTAATTTTGCTTCTTCATGTGGAGTGGGGGAGAAGGAAAAAGAAGGGCAGAAGATAGGGTGATGGTGGGAGTAAGGGGGAGAGCTACAAAGGGATCTGGGTCATGAACAGAACTTGGAAATTGCAACTGTAATCTCGCCCCACCATCCCTCAAGTGAAAAACCAAACATTTTTTGTGAGTTTTTGTGGAAATCAGTCAAGGGGCCATACTTATTCATACCTTGGGTGATGTGGAGCAACTTTGGGACAATATGCACAAATGCAGAAACTGAACTATGAGAAGGCCAGTCCCAGGAATTTGCAAAATCACAATGGGGCTTCATGGGCTTTGATGTCATCTGTACACCTATCTCTGGGAAAAAGCATACCAGATGACCTCTAGGCCACACACACACTCTACTTGCAAACACATTAGAAAAACAAGCTTAGACTAACGAAAAGCAGAAAAGAAAAATCTCTAATAAGCTCCATCAGGAACAATAAAGGAGAAATTACAACTGATGCCACAGAGATACAAGATATAATTTATGAATACTACAAAAACCTCTATGCACATAAACTGGAAAATGTGGAGGAAATGGACAATTTCTTAGAAACACACAGCTCCCTAGGCTCAACCAGGAAAAAATTAGAATTCCTGAACAGACCACTATCAAGTGCTGAAATTGAAATAGCAATAAAAAACCTTCCTAAAAATAAAAGTCCTGGACCAGATGGTTTCACACCTGAATATTACCACACCTACAAAGAAGAACTGGTGCCTATCCTGCACGACAATTATTCACAGAGCATTGAGAAGGATGAATCCTCCAACACATTTTATGAGTGGAACATAGACCCCTGGGATACCAAAAACCGACGGGGAGAAGGATGCAATAAAAAAAGAAGACTACAGGAGCCAATATCCATTATGAGTCAATATGAGATGCAAATTTTCTCAACAAATTCCTAGCGAATTGACATCCAGCGTGCTTGTCAAGAGCAAGAATAATCATCAGCGACGCAGGGTTGCATCCCAGGGATGCAGAGGATGTCTCCACCATATTGCAAATCTATAAATGTAATTCACCATATAAACAGAAGCGAAAAAGCAAGAGAGCAGTATGATGACGCTGCTCAAAGACTGCAGAGAAAGCATGTACAAAAGTTAACGACCTTTTGTGATAAGAAGTCACAAGAATAGGCACTAGATGGGCTTACCTAGAAGAATGGATGGACAAGCCATAGTTGACAAAGCCAGATCCGAATGACTCATACTGAATGCGGAAAACGTTGAAAGCAGGCGTTGTCCCACTTAGCGGAGCAAGACAAGGTTGCCACACTGTCTCAGCTTCTGTTCAAACCAGGCTAGAAGTCCCTGCTTACAGCAATTAGACAAGAGGGCAGACTTGGAAAGTGTCGCAATGGAGCAGAAGGATCAAAGTCTCAATCTTCGCGGATGTGACTGAGCGTCGTTGATACCGTAGTAAACCCAAGGTTTCACCAAGAGACTCCTTGATCTGATAAATGAATTTAGTAAAGTTCAGGGATACAAAAATCCATATCACAGAAAAGTTCAGAATCATTCTATATGCAACAGACAGTCAAGTGAGAGACCACTCGAGTCGAGATTCCTTCAAAGTAGCACATAAGAACATAGTACCCGTGGAACTATATTTAACTGAAGGAGGGTAACAAGACTCTAGCGAGGGAGTAACTATGAGCAACACTGGAGAAGGAAATAGCAAGGGTAAACAGATGGAAGAACGCTATACCGTGCTCCGCATGGCCCCCCTGCCGCCCCCGGATTGGCAGAATCACAGTATTGTAAAATTGGTCTATATTACAAGAGTGACGTACAGAGTCAACACGAATCCCTATACGAGTACCATCATCAGTTTTTCACAGTGAATATGGAAGAATAATTGTTATGCTTCGTACTGGACGCAGGAACCCCGCTGTATAGCAAAATCCAATCCTAGGTAATGTGAAAAAAACAACATTGTGAGTATCAATTTACCGGAGACTTGCTCAACGACGCTTGGATATACAGGTGATAGTCCATTAGAAGGACACGTGACCGATCAGACAGCGGACATTGGACAGGTGAGCAGAACAGAGACCAGATATGAAAGCGCCCATCTCATATAGGCAGTAATCTTCGACAAAGCAGACAAGAACAGTAGACACTGGGGAAAAGGAATCCTTATTCAGAGGGGTAGATGGTTTGCTGCGAAAACATGATAGTCCACATGTAGGAGAGACTGAAACGAAGACCGCACCTTTCACTCTCACAGAATCCAACTCATCGTTGGGTACACAGACGTTGACCTTAGATGTGAAACGTGATTGACATGCTAGACGGAAAATTTTTTTTTTGTTGGAATATCTTCTAGACATTGGCCTGGGTAAACAGAATTTATGAAGCCCAAAGGCATCGACAACAGCAACGCAAAAGGTAACAAATGGAACCTGAGATGAGAATGTTATAAGCTTCTGCAGTGTAGAGCAGAAGAAACTGTCGAAGAGAGCAGACAGAGCAACCACATGAATGGAGAAATTGTTTGGAAGCGTACACATTAGATAGAAGGCTGATAAATAGAATCTTCTTAGATCAGGAAAATCCGGCAAGAAGAAAAATCAAACAACCCTGATCAAAATGCAAAGGAACATGAACAAAAATTCTCAAAGAGACAGATAATGCAACAAAGGATATGAAAAAATGTTTCAACATCTCTAATCATCAGGGAAACTGCAAATCAAAACCACAATGAGTCGTCACTGAACCTCCGGTGAGAATGAGTGCCTTTGATCAAGACGTCCAAGCTATAAATGCTGGCGTCGGATGCTGAGGAGAGAGGAGACAATCCTACACTGTTGTGGGACGCAAACTAGTTCGACCTCTGTGAATGACATATGGAGATACCTCAAAGCAATATGACTTGATCTACCATTGTCAGCAATTCCACTATCGGCATCTACCAAAGATTCAAAGTCGGACTTTATGATGAAAGGACCTGCGATCAAATGTTTATATAAGACACAATTGACACATTGAAAAGCTATGGAAACAACCAAGTGCCCATCGATTTCAGATGAGTGGGATTAATACAATGTGGTATATGTACAACAGTAGAATATTCCTGGCTTTAAGAAACAATGGTGATATAGCACCTCTTGTATATTCCTGGATACAGCTGGAACCCATTCTACTAAGTGAAGTATCTCAAGAATGGAAAAACAAGCACCACATGTACTCACCAGCAAATTGGTATTAACAGATCAACACCTAAGTGGATGTATAGGAGTAACATTTATCGGGTGTCGGGACGGTGGGAGGGGACGAGTATATACAACTACAACGAGTAAGATGTGCAACATTTGGGGGATGGACATGCTTGAAGCTCTTACTTGAGGGGTAGGGGGGCATGGGCAATATAAGTAACCTTAACACTTGTACCCCTATAATACGCTAAAATAAAAAAAAAAAAGAAAAAAAAAAAGAAAAACAAGCTTAGATGAAGGACTACCAGAATTGACAATGATGGTAACAGTGGCTACCTAGGTGATCGTAGAAGTTAAAAAAAATATATATAAAAACTTACAGCCCATAGTTAAGAGTTGCCAAGCTGCTGCTGAGCAAAATGGCCTCTCATATCTCTTTGACTCCATCTGATTGAAAAAAACAAATAGATGAACCTTTTGCTGAAATATGAAACAAAGTTTCAGTTTCTTCTTTCACTAGTCCTTGAAAGCACCCTGTTTTCCGCCAGAGGTCTTGGTAAGCATAGTGCTGTATGTATGCCAGGCACTGTTCTTTATGCTTGTTTACTGGCTTAATCCTCACAATAATCTTTGAGGTAGGTGCTATTATTATTATTATTTTTCAGATGAGGAGAGTGAAGCACAGAGTACTTTGCCCAAGTTTACACAGCCTGTGATAGGGTAGTCAGAATTTGAATTCAGGCCATCTAACTCCAGAGCTGTGATCCTAATACAAGAGGGCTGTGGGAGGAAGGATGTTCGTTCTAAAAGAGAAAGGGACTGTCGTGTGTTGATTGTGTTGTAATGATACCTGGTTTGTATCCTAATGGTATTTCCTAGACCTGGGTTTGCTGAAGGCAATTATCTTTTCATACATTATTTTGTCTCATCCCTTTCCCTAACTAAGCACTGATCTTCTAAGCTTACCCTGACTATGTTTCCTCCCTTCCTAATGCTTTGACTTTCAGGTCAGAGTTTTGTTTGGTTTTATATACTCCTTTAGCTAGCTTAAAACGATTTATTTCCTGGTTAGAGCTGGAACCCATACTACTAAGTGAAGTATCCCAAGAATGGAGAAACAAGCACCAGATATATTCTCCAACAAACTGGTATTAACTGAGTAGCACCTAAGTGGACACATAGGTACTACAGTAATAGGGTATTGGGCAGGTGGGAGGGGTCATGATGGAGACGTCAGACTTTTGGGGGAGGGGTGGAAATGGGCATTTATGTGAAACCTTAAAATCTGTACCCCCACAATATGCCGAAATAAAAAAAAAACAAAAAACAAAACGATTTATTCCATGGAAACTTTACACCTATCTCTTTATACAATCTTACTGCTCACACTGCATCCTCCTCCAACAGGCCCCCAAACAAAAGAGGCATCAGAGCACAGCCTTATAAAAATTAAATGATTTTTTTTCATCTCAACATTTGGAAAAGTTTTTTGTTTCCCCCAAAATTTGGCTCTGAAGTAACACTTTCTCCTTTGCCAGGTAGCATTTTTCTTTGGAGCTGTCCCAAACATACTGACATACCTTACATAGTATGTGAGGCTTCTGTATTGTACTGCAGGATCCTGAGATGATGAACTGGGGATAGAAACAGGCATTTATAAACACCCATGCCTTCTGACAAGTTCTTTTCCTAATGCCACTGTTATCCCTGATATCTGAATTATCACTGAATTCTCTGAAGAGAGTGGTTTTAACATGAAAAAACCCATTTCAGTTCTAAAGTGATCACTAGTAGAATCTCTAAGGAATAGATTCACTATTTCTCTGTTACAGAGATGAAAAGGTATTTTAAAGTTTCTGATAATTAACAAGATCTTTGTATAGGTGATGGAACTTAGGGATCTCACAGTGATTTTTTTTATGAGGGACTAATAGGCACTTCACTTGTTTTGATTGTCATTTATTGATACTGTGACCCGAATTATTAGCAAATAAGCCATAGTGGCTAGTGTGGTAGCTCTCACTTTCAAGAAGCACCTTCCCCCTATAATGTTGTAGAAAAAATATTTCATCAATGGAAAATAGTTTCTGAAAGCATTTGATCTGAAGATTTACAGGTTGCTTTCTACCAACACCATGCCCCAAGTGCTATCATCACCTGCTGTCACTAGTTTGAAAGGATGGCTGTTTCTGATACATAAAGAATTTAATTTTTGTCCAATAGCATATCTAAACCTGCCTTAATTCTGCCTGAAGGACGCACAAAACATGACTCAAATATTACCAAGAAAGGGATCGGGAATCCTCCAGTCCAGGAAAATGAAATCCTGTCATGGAAGTAGAAGCACCTTAGCTTGACTTTCTTTTTTTTTTTCTTTTTTTTAAATCGGTGACACTTTATTTCTGTGTTACTCTGTAAGAGTTAGTGAAGTTCTTTAAGCTTTGGTTTCCCCATTTGTAAAATGGGAATTAATGACAGCTATCTCACAGCGTTGTTGGGACATTTAGGTAAAAACGATCCTGAAGTGCCTTTGGAAGGTGTCTAATACACAATAGACACAAAAGTGAATAATTATTATTTGTGGCTAATTTCTGCCATAAGCTCCCCTTTCTACATCTTTGGATTAGGATCCTTTCTAGATACTTTGTAATAGGTGATTCATTACATAACTTCCGTTTAAATATTTTCTCTTTATTACATACAGCACTTTCTAGAAAGTTCTCAGTGTGGGTAAACGCCTTCGACTTGAGGTCTCCCACTATAAGAAAGCCTCTGAGGAAATACTGTCTTTCCTCCAGAGCAGGGATTGCCACGCCCTTTGCAGGGTGAAGTGACCATACTTGCATGGCTCAGAGGCCTTTTCACAAAACACAGGGACAACTCAAATCTTCTCTCCCTTGAATCCCTGTTCTTGGTTGAAAAGTGCAAAGGGGTGGGTAAGGAAGTAATGCAACCCTTTCTGCTCTATGCAGAAATCTAACCTGGGGTTAACTTTCTACTCCTGTTCAGTTAAAAACTTCACACAGTCCAGATGTCCGTTGTGTGACTAGGTCACATTGCTTGTGTGTAAAATGATCTCTGCCTGAATAATTGCTTCTGGACTGAACGTAACCGTGAACTAAAAAACAGTTGTGGGAAGCCAGAGCTTTGGGCTTCCCTGGGTGTAATGCCTTGTAACCGGGCATGTCCTTGGTGGGAACTTTGGCAACTACGGCCATGGGATTATTGTGATATCTTATTCAAACATCTACTTTAGAAATCTCTGTTTAATTTCCCCAAATTCCTCTTGGGCACCTGGGTCTCTTTGTTTTTTCTTTCTTCATATGGCCTCTCTAAAAAGTGGCTCTATAGCCCCAAACATTAAGCTAAGGCCTTTGGATTCTCAGTCTGTAAAAAATAAGCCTTAGAGCCACTCCCTTTATTATTCTTCAAGCAAATCCCTTGGAGATCTTTTCCCCATGTACACCCCACCCTTTCAAGAAACTTATCAAAACATGCAACAAACATGAAAAAGGTGTTTCCATGCCTGTTTCCACACTAAGATGGGCTGCTTTAAGTCAGAGGTTGGGTCTTTAGCCCACGGCTTAACCACCTGAGTCATTCACTTGATTCAGCAGAAAAACAATAAATGAATTTAAATCGATAATATGAGAGTTTACTCACAAAAACTCCTGACAAAGCTGAGTAAATTATTATGACAATTACAGAGATGGGACCGGCAGAACTTTCTTTCTCTTCTAGGAGATACATATGTATCCAGAGAATCCCCAGGGCACCCTGAATCAGGCCGATCATTATTTGCGCGGCCTGTGAGAAGAGAGAGGCAGCGTTATTACTCAAGTCACATCTGTCACAGACAATCACAGCTGGGGTGACCGGGAGGCCATGAGAATGTCCAGGTTACCCTGGTGCTTCTGAAGGAGTGCGGAAAGGAGTGTGTGTCAGGGGGAACGGAGTCGGACAGAGATGTGGCAGTCGCGGTTGGGTGTTGGGGTCTCCTCGTTCATTTAAACAGGGAGTATTTGCTTTTGTTTCATAGTGGCCTTCAGAGATAACCAATATTTCATTTTCTAGTCGATTCTATTTAAGTAGAAACCAGAGGCCTCTGCGTTTGGTTCAGGAAGGCATCAGCTAGAAGCGGAGCTGCCGGCTCTGAGCGTCTCCAGGGCTCCATGCCCTTCTCCCTCCTACAGGTGCTTCTCTGAGGCCAACTCCAGCCTGAAAGTTTTCTCTGCCACGAGCCCCAGATAGGAGTTTTTTTTACCTTATTTTACTTTTCTCCTCCTCTCTTGTCTGGAACTTGCACTTTGGTTTTCATCGGCTCTGCCGACTTCCACACCCAGCGCCGACCGACCCTTGTAACCAGTCTGGACCACAGCCCTGGGGGCCTGTTCAGAAAAGCCTGCAGGAAGGGTCTCCAGTGACCCCTGGTTTTCTATAACTCTTACGTGAAGTGGTTCTCATGGGCCGTGCTCGGAGCTGGGCCTCTTTTCCCAGATGGAGTCTAGCCACTCACGCACACCAGTGACCAGGATGCCTGCAGCCATGGAAGGAGCTGGACTGGAGATTAGAACCCAGCGACCCTTGCCCTGCAACTGCTTTACTTCCTAATGCCCATTCTTTCTCTCTCAGATCCATTTAGGTAGTTTTAAGTGGATGTAAGTTATTTAAATCAGATTACCTTAAAAATTTATGTTCATAGGGAACAAACAGGTTTCTGTTTTGGAATTGAGGTTATGGGAAAGTGTATTAGAGTTCTCCAGATAAACAGAACCAATAGTATATGTCAATATCTATATCTATACCTATGTCTAATCTATGTCGAATCTCTATCATCTATCTATCTATCTATCTATCTATCTATCTATCTATCTATCCATCTATCTATCTACATATATATAAAATGAAGACTGGCATGTCCAAAATCTTCAGTGTGGGCCTGCAGACTTGAGATCCAGGAGGGCTGATGGTGCCGATGAAGTCTGAAGGCAGTCTTCTGGAGGATGTCTCCTGCTCCATGGTGGGGCAGGAGATGAGGAAAGCAGAGTGGGGAAGGAACAATCTTTTGTTCTAGTCAGACCTTCAACTGATTGGATGAGCTCTATCTACATTATGGAAGGCACTCTGTATTTGCAATGCATATGCAATGTTGGTTTGATGATGAAGTGTTGCTGTGCATACCCACTTTTTCATGATGGCATGGTAGCTTGGTAGCATGGTAGCTTTCAGGTTGCATGGTAGCTTGGTGGCCCATGGTTAATCATTCAGTCTCTGCTAAGGCCCAGTAGCAGGCCAAGACCTGTTTCTCAAAAAGAGAGTAGTTATCCACAGATGATGGCAGGGTTTGGCTCCAAAATCCTATGGTCTGTGCTATGATTTACCTAGAGAAGCCTGCCAGAGGTGTTAAAAAACAACCCTATCTGCCACTGATACTTTTAGAACCATTGGATCTGCTGCATCATATGTCCCAAGGGAAGAGCAGCTTGCACCAGTCTAAACCTATTGCAGAAACTTCTCTTATTCTGGACCCCACTAGCAGCTTTTTGAGTTGCTTGGTAAATGGGTTGGAATAACACACCCAAATGAGGAATGTTTTGCCTCCAAAATCCAGAAGTCCACTAGATGTTGTTCCTATTTTTGATTGTAAGAGAGGTCAGATGCAACAATTTATCCTTCACCTTAAAAGGGATAGCTGGAGGTGACCTTTATGAATTTCACTGAGGTAGAAGACTCTTGAAATTTGTTGGTTTTGTTGCCCATCCTGACACATAAATGTCTTACTCATAAGTCTAGTGTAGTTGATATTTCTTGCTCATTAGGTCTAATCAACATAATTTCGTCAATGTAATGGACCAGGGTGATACCTTGCGGAGGACAAAAGTAATCAAGATCCCCGTGGAGTAAATGATGACACACGGCTGAAGAGGTGATATACCCCTCAGGTAGGGCAGTGCAGGTGTACTGCTGTCCTTGCCAGCTGAAAGAAAACTGCTTCTGGTGATCTTTATCAACAGGGATGAAGAAGAAGCATATACCAGCTCAATAGCTGCACACCTGGTAACAGAGGATGTGTTAATTTCATATGCAATTAAACAGATGCAATGAGAATCACAATTTGATTAAGCTTACAACAATCCACTGTCATTCTCCAAGATCCATATGTCTTTTGCACAGGCCAAATATGCAAGTTGAATGAGGTGGGAATCACCTCCCATATATCTTTCACATCCTTGATGGTGGCACTAATCTTTAGGATTATAGTATTGCTTTTAGTTTATTATCATTCTAGGTAGAGGCTGTTCTATGTGCTTTCACTTTAGTCTTCTTCACCATAATATGTTTCACTCCACAGGTTTATGGAACCAACATGGGGATTCTGCTAGTTACTGAATATAAGTATTGCAAGCATGCATTCCAGAACTGGTGAAATAAACACAGGATGGGTTCAAGCATCCGCTGAGCCTATTGTGAGATGGACCTGAGCTGAAACTCCATTGATCACCTGACCTCTATAAGCTCCTATTCTGGACTGTATAAGCTCCTATCCGGTACTGCTTTGGATTTCCTGAAATTAGCATCAATTCACAACCAGTGTCCAGCAATCTCTGGAAAGTCTGATTATTTCCTTTTATCCAATGCAAGTTCAGTCCTGTGGCTACAGGAGAGAAGATTCTGACCAGGGCACACATAAAAACTGTTAGGTCATTTATGCAATGCTGGAGCCAAGACATAAAATCCCTCAGCTTACCCTTTTCTTTCATCACTTTGGCCAGCGATGCTAAGAACAATCAATTAATGTCATTATATTCCTTGGTTTTCCATAAATGCTCAAAGGTTTCATGTATAAAGTCACTAAATTCCTTGTCTCTTTTAAGTGGTGAATTAGGAGTGTCAAATGCATTTATTTTATGTATCTTTATAAACAGTTCTCTGTATATTATTAGAAGTGTAGCTCTTTGCATTTTTAGGTATAATCAGATTAGGGAGCTGATTCCAGAAACCCCCAAATCAATTAAGGAAACTCATTCTTAAAATTCAGCTCCTCTAGAATCACTCCTGATACCAAAATCTGTATTAGTCAGTCCTCCAGAGAGATAGAACCAATAGGAGATATACATATGTGTGTGTGTGTGTGTGTGTGTGTGTATGTGTATGTGTATATATATGGATTTATTAGAGAAATTGGCTCACACAATAATTATGGAGGCCGAGAAGTTCCACAGCAGCTTGCCTGCAAGCTAGAGACCCCGGGATGCTGGTAGCATGCTTCAGTCCAAGTCCGAAGGCCTCAGACCCAGGGAAGCTGATGGTATAACTCTCAGTCCAGGGCCAGGGGCCTGAGAACCCTGGGGAACCACTGGTATAAGTTCTGGAGTCCAAAGGTCAGGGAGCCTGGAGTTGTTGTCCAAGGACAGGAGAGGAAGAGTATATCCTGGCTCCTGCATATGGAGTGACATATTTGCCTTCTCTCTATTTTTGTTCTCTTTGGCCCCCCAGCAGATTAGATGGTGCCTGTCCACATTGAGGGCAAATCTTCCCCATCTAGTATACTCAGGTCCACATGCTAATCTCCTCTGGAAACACCCTTATAGACACACATTAAAAAATAATGCTTTCCCAGGTTTCTAGGTGTTCCTTAATCCAGTCAAGTTGACACCTAAAATGAACTTTTACCGATCCTAAGCCCTTCATCCTCTCTGAGGCAGTGGATTTCACTGGTAGGTCAGTGGTGGCCAGTGACAGGCCTATACCTTCTCAAACATTTTGCCACTAACCCCCACCAGAACAGACAGATAAGGAGTGAGCAATCTAGACCAAAAACACCATGGGATTGGGGATAGGGCACAGAGACGACCATCCTCTGACCCTACTAGATATGGGACTTCACTGCATGTAGGTGTGCCCCGCATTCTGATAGTGTCCCAGGTAGATTCCAACTAGCAGGAGATAATCATGGACTTGATATATTGGGAATTTTCTTGGTGCAAACTTGAATGTTGCTGAATTAGATGCAAATGTGATTCAATGTCCCACAAATGTTGGTGGATAATGCAAAAGGGCATAGCATTCTAATGGTAAGAAGAGGTAAGAGGGAGACTACTGTTGTAGAATATGACCCCTTTGAGCTGAATATACAGGGGAGCATGTTGATAGTACAGTGCCCCTGTAGCTTTTTCTGGTTTTCAGCCCATTACCTGACCATTTTAGTTATGATCTATAAGCTTTGATTCAAACTATTTTCAAACAAAGGCAGAAAGGGGACCGCTCAGACATCAGCATGTGCTAGAACCCCGAGTAAGTTGTGACGATGTCGAACTATTCAGGAATGGTTTGTGAATCCATAATTTGTGTCTAATTAGCTCTAGTCTGATTGTCATCACCTCAGAGCACTTTCATCAATTTTCTTTCCCTTGGGCAGTTCATTGCAGATATGGTCAATGTCTCTTCCCTTTTATATTAGGAAGAAGCAGCACTAGTCATTTATTAACCCAAGTAGCACTTAGTCCTTACCCCCATTGCTTTGGTGTCCTCTCTTAGCTTATATCTTCTTGGCATTTTAGCTAAGATATGTGGTATAGAAATTATAGAGGATGAATAGACTCCTTTTCTGCAGAGAAATACAGAGAAAAAGTAACACTTATTTTTAGATAAGACACTTAAAATGGCAGCCTCTGATTTTCTACTACTTCACAATTCCTTGAAAAATGCTTTTTTGCATCAACCCACTGATACTGATTTCTGCTAAACAGTGATAACTCCCTAGCAAAACCCAAGAGCTACCTTTCAGATTTTATTCTTTTTTCATGGCCTTTAAATAAGACTGAGTAGATACCTTTTGATGTAGTTACCTCACTGTCCTTATTTTCACCTTTTCTAGGAGTTACCTGCTCCCCTAACTCCATGGGGTCACTCAGATTTGGATTCCTGATTGCTGTGTTTGCTCTCCACACGAACGTCCCCTAATCTAGCCATAGCTAATTGGACAAGTGGTGTGTATCCAACTCGAATTGAGCCAATAACGGTTCCCTATCCAGAAAACTCCCAGATAATACAGTCCGGTTCTTGGTGTGTCTCCTAAGCAAGAAGTAGCAGCACTACCATGTTCCACCTTACAAAAAGAAGAGTGGAGAGACATCAGAGTAAGGAGATGGGGGGAAGGAATTCCCTAAATATTCTGATGGCTCTCATTTCCCAGATTCCAGTTGCTTTTAAAGGCCTGCTTATGAGATATACCTGCATTTTAAAAATAAATTATCTTTGTTTTGTTAAAACTAGTGTAAGAGGATATACATCAAGTGAGACTGTTTATAGTGTTCCAGAATAAAGGCTGAGTCTCAAAGGTTGACACAAGGGCAGTATTTTCCAGTTCAAATTCATAAAATTGCCAGAGGTTGTGCCTAGTAGCCTTCTCCAAGGACTTATCGGTAGGTGATGGTTCAGAAAGGTGGCTATGGTCAACTGAAAAACTGTCCCCAATTATTCTTTCCTTTTTCCCTGTTAGAGGGTTCTATACCTTTCCATGTGGCCTTTGACCTGCAGTGTCCCCCTTCTGTCCATGGGAGGAGCATGCTCTCTACCTCCTCGATATTGGAGTTGACCTTGTGACCTGCTTTGACTGATGAACGTCACAGGCCACCTCTGAGTCAAAGCCTTAAAAGATGTTATAAGTTTCTAGCAGATTTCTTTCTCATTTACCTCTGATGTGAGACTATCGCTTTCCAGCCACCCTTTACTGTGGATACCAGAATGAAGACGCAGGGAGCTGGCCCACAGCTACCACACAGCACTGAACAAAGCTCCAGGAAGTGAAAAATAAATGTTTTTTTCTTGTAAGCCAGACGTTTTGTGGTTGTTACACCAGCAACACTGACTGATACCCTGGCACTAACCAATGCCCCCAAGCAATATGGAAGGAGGACAGGGAGAGAGAAAATAGCATTTTAGGAAACATCATATTGGGGAAACTATGGGAGATTAGAATAATAACACTTACAGAATAGAAAGGTCCTTCAAGAATGTGTGACTAACTTTTACCTCCCTCTTGGTGTCTTTTTGCTGGCAGATAGGGTGGTCTGCTCTTGTGTTGACTAAGCAGAGGAAGAGAGAATGGGGGCGAAATCATTTGGAAGGAGTGACCCTCACAATGAGAGAAGGCCAGTACTACAACGCTCCTTCAAGTTGTAGATGCAGGCAGAAAGTTTTTGGAGAAAGGTCCCAGTGACAGTCCTGGGATGGTAGATGAGATCAGAGGCTATAATTTTGCGGAAAATACTATTAGTATCAGAGGAAGGTGGCAAAGACAGCAAAAGAGAGGCTCACTTCCAAGGAATATAGCTGGATTCCACTAATTTGGGTGTGGTAGTAAAGAGTTTTGGTAGTCAATAAAGTCCCAATGTAAATAATGTAAAATCAGATCCCTAAAAATAAATATTTTTTCTCTAGCTCAGTTCCCTAAATTTGCCCAAGAGAAGCAGCTCTTTTGCTCACTATTAAATCTCATGTGTAACCCTAGTTGGTTCTTTATCTTTTCCTCCAAGAGAAATCAAGAGGGCTCTGCTACAGAAAAACAATAACGTGTATAGGACATCATTTTCTTAAAAGAAAGCAAGTATGCTGTTGAGAATGTCAGAGACACTGCACAAAGGACAAAGAAATCAGATTAATGGGGCTCCCACTGGCAAACTCGTGACAATTTAAATAATGAAAAATATTATTATGAACTGATTTGTGTGTTGAATGGCCATAAGTTCATTATGATACACAAAAAAGAAGATTTAAAGTGTTAACGAAATAGTATGCATTTCATTTTTCATTGGTTTGAAGTGGTAGGGGAATGCAAACATGCATATGTGTATTTTGTTTCTTCCTTTAAGTATGCATCCATTTTTAAAGCAAGAATAAATATATAAATACAAAGATATATGTGTAAGTATGAAAGAGGGAATCAAAAATTGTGAGTGGGCCGTGTGGTCCACTGGCAGTTATTCCCAGTATTAGGGGCACCAACGAGCTGATCAGCACCACGGGTGTCCTGCATTTCCCAGGTAGAAGTGGAGGGCAGCGATTGACACTGTATGTCGTTTATAAACAATCACTAATTTGAGGACAGGTCTGGCACTGCATTTCAAGATGATGAATTAGCCAACTGTCCTGCATAAGAGAATTGCGCATACTTAGTCTGCCATCATTTATTCAGTATAAGCCCTAGATGATTCTAAATATTATAATGAAGGCTTAAAAGAGCATTCACATGGTTCCAATCATTCTAATTAACCAGGTCAACATATTGTAATGGCGGGACAAAGTAATAAGCAGGCAGTGATGGCCAGTCAAAACTGAAAGCCTATAGTATTGATATAAGAGGTAAGGAACTAAATATCCTGTGGTGTAACAGAGGCTTAGTATAAAAAGAGACTCAGTCTACAAACAGACTCTGTCTGACGACCAGTGGGCAGGTTTGAGTAACTTCGGGTTGCAGAACCAGGTCCCATGATTTAACCAATGATCAATGAATCTGATGACCCAGATACTGTAACCTTGCTTGGCTCAAAGAACCTTCTTCAAAATCTCTTGGGTCTGGTAAGATTATTTGCAACCACAGTATGTTTAACAATACTGTCTGTTAAAACTGCTGGTACCCTAGGGGTTATAAAGAGAAAGAGAAGTTAAAATTTATCCAGTGCTTACTCTGCCAGGTGCTATTCTAAGTCCTGTACACGTATTCACCCATATAGATTTCTTAAGAACCGTATTTTGACAATTTCCAGATGAAAAACAGAGACACAGAGAAGCTCTGTAATGGGTTCAAGGTTACACAGCAACAAGTAGAAGAGCTGGGATTTGAATTCACAGCCTGGCTCTATAATCATCTTCTGCTATTCTACCATGCAACAAACATTCACAGTATGAAAAGACAGAATGAAGAAACAAATTTAAATCCATGATTATAATTATTTTGTAAGAAATTTACATATTGGTTATATCATTAGTTGTAACCAATGTGATATTTTGCCTGTGGTTTCATAGTAGTAGCAGATATATTAGCTTTGATTTTAATGAAATGTGTATAAGAATTTCATTATTTTTATATTAACTTGTGTTAAATAGTTGAATTTAATAAATCTATATATTTTATTGTACTACTTTGAAAGTTGTATGTGAATATTTAGTAGAATGATGGTTGTTTAATTTTAAAGGAAGGCTAATTGTTCCATAAACTTATGAAATTGAGTAAGTCAGGCATTCAACAAAAGCCTCTTCAGAACAGTGGGGATTAGTAGCCAAATCCTACAAAAGGACACTTGTGCCTAGAGAAGCTACTCTTGGGTGAGCTGTTCTCCCGGAGCATGTCAGAGCTGCCACCCACTTGCATGAGGTCTACAGACTGTGATCTAGAATAACCGACCCAGAGAAGCAGAGACTGATCCCTTGCTCAATTAAATAAGGAGATGTTTGCTTTTTTATTTTTCCTTAAATGCTTTCTTTTTGTCTTGTATTTCTGTAAATGTTTTCCTGTTATTTTCGGAAGACTTTCACCCTTCATGGTTCTCCAATACCCAGCCATTCAGCGTTCTGAGATTTTCATGAGCTCAGCTTATATATCACTGCTATGGTTTGGATATTTGTCCCCTCCAAAACTCATGATGAAACTTAATCCCCAATGTGGCAGTATTGAGCAGTGGGGCTGTTAAGAGGTGATTGGGTCATAAGGGCTCATGGATTGATGGACTAATGAGTTAAAGGATTAATGGGTTGTCATGGGATTGGGAGTGGTGGCTTTAATAGAAGCGGAAGAGATACTTGAGCTAGCATGCTCAGCTCCCTCTCCACGTGATGCCCGGAGTCATCTCTGGACTCTGCAGAGAGTCCCCACCAGTAAGAAGGCCCTCCCCAGGTGCAAGCCTCAACCTTCAAAAGTATAAGAAATAAATTCTTTTTCTTTATAAATTACTCAGTTTCAGGTGTTCTGCTATCAACAGCACAAAATGAAGTAAGACAATTCCCATTTCTGATTTCTTAGTTCTTGGCTCCAACTTCCTTATTTACATACATTTTTTAAAAAAAGTAATTGAAAATCAAAATATTGATCCTGTTTTAAAATATCAGTTGTATGTTCCTTTGAGAGTTGAGGGGGACTTAAGTTTGGACCCTATTTGGAGACAGAATCAGGAGTAAGACAGATGGAGATCAGCTTTACTAGTAATAAAATAGGTGGGAGCACATGGCGAGGGCATGTGACAAAATGGTTTTGTTGTTTGGAGTACACGGCCAGTGTATGTGACAACATGGTTTTGCTCATTAGTCTCTGCCCTCCCTTCCAGGTTAGCTTTTGGGGAGTAAGTTTTGGGGGAAAAATGAACTCTGTGGAATAGGAGCATTCATACAGAGTCACTGCCCCACATTGATCCAGGGCAGAAAGGAAAGAAAAGAAATTTAATTTCTAATGATTCAAATATTTTTGATATCTTACTCAAACTAAAAAGGAAAGATACAGAGCAATAGCCATCACTCATCACTCAGGTCCCTAGTTCCCTGCCTGTGGACTGTTAGAACAATTAAGAAGGAAGTCACTAGCCTGAGCATGCCTCTGTATCTGGAGCTCTTACA